CAGGGACACTCCAACATATGTTTTGCTACCCACAATTTATTAGCCAAAATTAGCTACATTGAAGTAGGGTTGTGATCATGCCCTCTCCTTTGGCAAATCCTCTTTGTCAGGGACTCTGGGACTGTTATGTAGGCTCTCTTGGGTATTCAACATCCAGGGTAGGCCACACACTGGAAAACCGCCCAGGAAACAGATATACAGCTCTTATGGCCCAATTTGTAGCATACTGAAGAACAACAGTAACTAGTCATCAATCTCTTCTTCTACAAGCATGATTTAAATGAGTGTCTATGGTTGAAAAGCTCTAAGTGCTATCAACTATCAGTTCTCTCCAATGGCAACATTTTAAGCAGAATAAATACATTGCAGTAGGAAGTCACATAACCCTTTTATTAGGTTAACAGTCCCATATTTCCACTTTGGCTGACTGTTAAAATTCTGATGTTAGGACTTTTTAATAATATAATTTTCCTTTAGTCCATCTTTTTTTTTTTTAATAATTAAAATGATTATGAATTTTTTTTTTATATAATCCAAAGACAGAATAAAAGCCAGAATCCTTATGTGCTAAAAAGTAGTATTGCATATTGTTGTAAACCATTGCAACTCAGGTATAGTGCTAGTGACATTTGTTGTAATGGGTAACTTTTCCTTACATTTCTCCAACTCTTGTAGGCTACAAGATAAAGAGGAAAGAAAAACCTGTGTGAAGCTTGCTGTTGCCTACAGATTCCTTTTGGGATATGGAGTTCTTGAAAAGCCTCTCCACACCCAAAGATATCAGAATGGTATCTTACACACAATAGAGCATGAGAGCCAACCCTGCGGGACAGCTTTTCAATTCTTTCATACTAATGAATGAGGACACAGTTGTCTTCTAGAGAGTATTTTAAAGGGCAAGTGATGAGAACTGGATACTCTCTGTTTATTCCCATGTATCTGGGAAGGAAACTTTTTCATATAGTGGACAAATATTTAAATATTTTTCAAATATAACCATCCTCCTAAATGGCATGGAAATCGGTCACAAGGTCTTGACATAGCTCGGTTGGCAGCAACTGTTGTTCTTCCTAAGCAGCAGCACTGGCACATAAGGGAGTGACAGCGGCGTACTCTAAGTATGGAAAGCTATCTTCTCGGTAGCAACAAGAGACCATTTTCAGATCTGAAACTCTATATTCTGTAGCAAGCAAACAAAAATATGCAGAAGGATCCTGATTCTTGGAATATGCATTTTCCCACCAAGCCTATTTATAAAACTGCCTGATAAAAAAGCATATAGAAGAAATGATTGCAACTCAGAATATCTGGGTTGTATTCCCAGCTGTGTTTGCCCTTGAGTGAGCCACATTAAAAAAAAAAGAAATCTGCTGAGGAAGTCTTTATACCTCAGTTTCCCCACAGCTACAGAGATAATAAATAATAGGGTGATCTCATTTGTGCCTGGAAAGCATGTTGAGATGATTTTTTGGAAGACACTAATGAAGTGTCATGAGTTATTATTGCATTAGGCTGACTATACTTCTGAAATCCATCTGACATTTCCCACTTGGCATTGATTGTGAGTGGTAACATTTCTGCATTATTTTTAAAGAGGATGCGTTATATCACTGCTTGATGTATAATTACACGGTTTATGATTAAAGCATTTTCTAAGAAAGGCAGTAACCTATGAGATCCTCTCTTTTTCACTTTGTTAAACTACCACATTACAAAGTGTATTGTTTCATTACGGATCCTGCCAAGCAGCTCTACTGTGCTCCTTATAGCTGCGTGTGAAGTACCGAGGTGAAGTTCCTAACTATATTTGGGTATCAGAGTTTACTTCCTCTACTCTCTTGAAGGTTAGCATGACGAGTGGTTGAGGAATGCTAGGGGAAACCGTCATGAACATGAGCAGGCTGTGTCCGAGCTTGGATTGCCCCGCTGAATCCTGTTTTGTGTTGCAAGCAGCTCAGTCACCAGGCACTAGGACAGGGCTCAGACCACACAAACACAGGATTGGGTCTGTTCCGTTATCATGTTGCTGAGACTGCTCCTCAGTGTCGCAGATCATGGCAGCTCTCCCATACGTTGTCAGCGGTCCGAGCCTGGGTTGAAGTCAAATACTCCCCGGTCAGATGTGCCTGTAGAGCAGGGTGGTAGGAGAGGAAGCCTGGAGAGGAAATGAGTAAGTCAGCCCGGCCCAGTGAGTAGCTGTAACGCAGGGTTACTGGAGCAAACCGTGGAGCCAGAGGAAGTGTTGCAACGAGTAACCCACATGTCTGCATTCTACTCTGAAACAGCCTCACCAGAAAAATCTAAGATAAGAGGATTTTTGGGAAACATTACTGTACAATTAGCACAAGACAAAATGATCTATTGCTAGTTCTGAAGAGGGGGAGCATGCACAGCTCCTCCTTAGAGGCACTCAGAACCCAATGAAAGGGCAGCACCCATAAACAGCAGGCTTGAAGTTACTGATTTTTTATCTTCTGTTCTGCATGACTTCTCTGTTCTTTGTGAACCGAGTATTGTCAGTGACGATGCCCAGTAGAGCTATTTGTTTTCCTGAGGAGATAAAAATAAAATTTCTAAGAGGGGCATAGTTACATTGATACTTAAAAACCATGGTGGAGGGATTCTCTATTCCTCATGATATTTCACTCAGAGAATTTAATGTAAAAAGAATACAGGGTCATGTGTACATTCTTATAATTTCATGTGTCTATCTACATGCTTTTCCTTTTTTACAACTGACTCCTGTGCAGTTGGGTCCCTGGAAGAATGAGATGAATGAGAAGGGCATCCTTTGGGGAAGGGGGGAAACAGAAGCAAGTGGTAATCCCTACATAAAAAGAGTAAATTAAATGTGGCATTCCACTGCCAGCTGGGTGTTGTCTGCTATATGGTCTCCATCAACATCTCTTCATCTTTTTGATTTATTTTATAATACTTTTGAAGTGAAAAAAATCCTCTTTTACCACTGCCTCCCAATACTTTTTCCCAACATTGCATAACTACCAAAATACAGACCGTCAGTAAAATGTTTGGGCCACTGGTAGGATGTGAATTATCAAGTTTTGTTTACAAAACACTGTTTACGTTATTTACATTTGGCACTTTTAAATTAATGACAAAAGAAAATTATGAAGGAGATGGGTGAGTGAAGTCAATTCTTTGAATACTAGATGCTTGCAAAGCAGCTGTTAGAATGAAATTTCCCTGGCTGCTTAGTGTGAGGATACTTCAAATTGTAGTCAAAATTAGGATTGGTACACCAGATTATGTGTGGGTGTGACAAATGAAAAGGAAATGCTTGTTAGAGTATTTTTATTTGTAATATGAAACTAACCTAAAATAATATTAGTGGGTATTAAATTCTGTATGTTCCAGTGGATCACTTCCATTGGAATACAGAAAATAGTTCTGCTTATAGTAACAGCTCAGGGAATATTTCTGAGACACTAATTTAGAAGAATGTCTGAAGTTGAAATACTAGTAGTAAGAAATACATGATGCTGTGGGTGTGGTATGTGTCTTTTATCATTGCGATTTCATATTGTTCTAAATATGTGTTCATACAATCTTTACACACTCCACATTAACAATTATTATTTTATAGCATTGAAGAAACACTTTCTTTGCTACATTTGGCTTTAAAAACATTTTAATGGAGCCTTTCATGTCACTCACCTGGAATAGAAAAAAAAAAAAAAAACCAGTCAGTGAAAACAGGTAACCAATGCAGACTTCTTGGTATAGCAGGGAAATTCAAGGTCCCATCTAACGCAGCATCCTTTGGCTAGGGCAGTGCTGAATCCACTTCCTCAGTCTAATGTTGTGGAGTTACCTAAAGTTCAAAGCATTCAAGAAAACTATTCAAGGGCACAAACCAGCTGGTGATCCATCTGCAGGAGTATGAGAGGAAACAGAGTAGACCAAGTAACTTTCAACTCTGTCTTTTTTTAACGGTGCAGGAGAAAACCTGTGACAAAGGTACTCAAATAGCAAAGTAGTCCTTAGCATGTGAGCATGCACTGAGCTGGGATACTTTTGCTGGGTGGAAAGCGGATGTTGATTCTCTGGGTAAGAGTGGGCTAGGAATTGCATCTGTTTTGCTGCCTGAGCCTGGCTTTGCCTTGGATTTCCTTGGTGAACTAAGCAAGTAGTCAATAGCTTTGACCTCTCTTTTTCTGTTTACGAAATGGGATTCTGACCCCTTCCTCCCCAGGGTCTGTGAGGTTAAATAAAAGGACGTTTATAAAGTGAGCTCATGTAGTTTTTATGGAAGAGATGCAGTTTCAACATTTTCAAACTATAATTTCAGCAGAGAAAAAACCTTAGATACTACATTTACTTATGCATGGCTGCTGTCTTACATGTAGGCCTTCTTTCAGCAGTAACCTCCCACAGCAGCGGGAGGGTTTGCACAAGTCCTTTCTGCTGGGGTGGGGACAGAGGCCATGGCCACCCTGTGAAAGGGAGCCAGTGCTGGCTGCCGGGGGTCACTGATAGCCTCCAGCTGTGTGACACCCCTGTGCCAAGCTCTGCTACTACGAGCTGCCTCTGCACGTGGGACACCTCAGGGTGGTGTGAGCACCTTGTGGGGTGTGCCTTTTCCTTTGGTACCTAGGTGCAGTTGTGCCTTCCTCTTCATCTCACCCGAAGTGAACCTGGTTCCCCTTTTGTGCACGCTGTAGGTGTTCCCAAAGGTGTTCTCTCTGTGTACGTACACGCCTTATGAAAGGCTTTCAACCTCTCTCTTATTTTGGGGATGTAGTTCAGCTGGTCCTTTCCAATGTTTTATTGATAAGTGCCATTTTTGTGCTGCCTGTTGCTAAGCATTTGCGGCTGCTCAGTCTCACCCTTCCCCCCTCCACTGCTGGCAGAGAAAGGACGCAGCATATTTCTAGAATATATCCTCTAATTCCAGCACTGGGACTACTGTACATCTGGTGCTCTCAGTCTCCTCTGTGCACATTATGGCACGTTGAACCGTAGGCGAGGGGACAAATGACATGTCCCTGTGGGGTGGGACATGGAGATTTCTGCAGAAAGTGTTGGAGGGGCATCGTCAGGCACGGGATCAGCAGCGACAACCCAATGAACTGTTACCAAAACGCAGGCACGCGTCTCTGCTCTCACTTTCTCTTAGGCAGCCCCGAAGTGTGAAAGTTGGTGGTGGGGTGTGCGCAGAGGTGGAAACACGGTGGGAGGTGGAATTGCGGTAGATGTGACTGATTTACGAGAGGAGTTTCCTTTACAGTCATAAGGGGAATTTTGCTTGGTCACAGCAAGTTTGAACCTTCATGGACAGCCTGAATCATTTGAAGTTAAAATAAAACAGAGAATGGCAGGGGGAAGGGCATGGCTTTTTGTTTTGTTTTGTTTTTAAAAAAAAAGGCAAAAAACACAACGTTAAACTTGTTTCCTTTGGTGCTGACTTCTTAAATCGGAATGTGATCCAGAATAGTTCTGGTGTGCAAGCCAACATTTGTTTTAAGAATTTTTATTGTCTTTTCTCTCTTCCCCCTCTCTCCCCTGCACCCCCCTCTCCCCCCACCCCGCTCTGCAGATTTACACTGACTGGGCTAACCACTACCTAGCAAAATCTGGCCACAAGCGGTTGATCAAGGATTTGCAACAGGACATTGCAGATGGAGTTCTGCTAGCAGAAATCATCCAGATCATCGGTAAGACCAGGGCTGAGAGAAGCACTGCAAACTGACTCTTTGCATGGGGGAATATATAATTCAAGTTGAATGTATTTAACAATAAGATGAACCCTGAATAATACGATTTGACTGGGTCCATATGTCTCTGATATTTGTGTGGTTCATCCTTGTCTTAATTAAAAAATATGTTTATGTGAGCATGTTTGGAAGTGGCTGTTTAACCATACTTTAAATGGCCAGAACTGTATCTTACACACTTTGAATTGTCAGAAATGAATGCTCCATTAAACCATATGTCTCCCATGTGTGCATTTTGTAAGTTGGAGTGGCTCATACTTTCTGGGATGCCTTGAAACTGTATCCTGACCCTGCAAAGACAATTGTGGAAGATTTCATGTCAGCAGTTATTTTGCAGGGGCTGAAGAATTAGCAGCGACCTCCTTCGCACTTCCCCCTTTGCATGATTTGGCATGTGGAAGCAACTGCTGCTAACAAGAGTGTTGTTACTGTACAACTGAGCTTTACTTAGAAAGGAGCTCTGTGTCAACAAAACCCTGTGCACTTTATTGCTGTGTCGTTTCTGCTCTTCCGGTTTTTTCTTTGTTTTTTTTGAGGTGCCTTTTTTTTTCTTCTTTTTTTTACCACGGGGTGGAAAAGAAAGTTTTATCTAATTGTTTACTTCTGTTTTTTCCTCACTCTTTTGTTTAGCAAATGAAAAGGTTGAAGATATCAATGGCTGTCCCCGGAGCCAGTCTCAAATGGTAAGAACAAAATATATTTTTAGTCTGTGTTGGCACCTCTGTGCTTTCCTATAATGCTTTTTAATAATGATTTATTTAAACTGAGAATGTTCTTTCCCATATTTATCATAAAGTCCTAATTCTCATATAACGTTCCTGGTACTTTTTTTTCCACGTGTGCTTAGTGTTTGTCACTTCTTTTCTGTGCTCACTAACCTTGCGTCTTGAAGTAAAACTTCAAGCAGCAAAACTTCATCACTTCTAATTAATCCAGAACTGCCTTAGCAGGACTGTTCTTCTGATGATCCAGATAATTCATTTAACTTCATTTTTAAGGTCAGTAAATCCAAGAACAAATTTTTAAGTGGAGTCTTTGTGTCTGGAAAACTGGCTTGATGAACAAGACTTGCCAAATTATTTTTGAATATAAATAGCCTTTTGGATTGTCCACTGTAAAGTCCAGTTTGATGCACTGACTCCAAGACTTTCAGAAATAGAACTTTAGTCATATAGCTCTCTGAGCTATAGCTGGCAGCTGCTTAAAGACATTTTAATACTCTCAGGCAAGAAGCATTTTGTGACTGTGATTCATGTGGAATCTTATTAATCTTTTACTGTGTTTATGGCTAGTCAACTACATTTAGTAAGATAAAGCCTCCTTATAAGGCTGTGGAACTGACAGGTACAAAAGCTGAGCCTCAGTATAACATCACCATGCATTCCAGTCATGCTCCTTCACGCTGAGGACTTTGCCTTTCTGTTCACATCCAAATAGTACGTGAGTAAAGTGCACAGTTGTGTTACTGGCAAGGATTTTAGAGTGTAATGATTTGGATGAGCTTGCATAATAGCAAACTGCTGAAGCTGGGCTTAAAAGTGGAAGTGGAGTAGAAAACAAAATTGCATTTATTTAGTGCATTTTTTAAAGGGGGAAGGTATTTGCTGCTTTTTCCTGTAAAGCTGCAAAAAGTGAAAGGAAAAATTTTGAGTGCTAGTGAAATGAGTAATTGGGTTTTCTGGTTCCTACTTTTCAAAAAATGTACAGGTTTAAAGTAAGTTTTTTCTCTGGTTTTCAGGCTTTTTGAAACAGTCCATAGTAATAATATATGCAATTTCCTTAATAATAGTTATTATTTTAATTACTCATATTACAGCATCACCTAGTGGCCCCGGCTGAGAACGCTGGGAACTCCAGTGTGGAACTCTACTATTACACACACAGATCAAGAGATAATCACCTTCCATTTTAATCCCATTAAAACCTGCTACTCCAGACAGACAAGGCAAACTCAAAGAGACAAAAGCACAGAAAAGTGATATGATTTCCCAAGGTTATGTAAGTGGTTTGTGGCCATCTAGGATTTCTCAGGGACCCACTGCTCTCATGTCTGTGGAGTTTCATTTCCATGAGAGAAAGCTGAGATGCAGAGAATATTATTTACTCTAGCAATGTTTACATCTCTGAAGCGACATCATCTGTGTACGTTCCCTGTTGATAAGTAAATCATTACGTGTCATAGGGATTCTGGATCTCGTGTATAGCTCCACTGCAATTGTGAGGGAAGCATGGTCAGTGCATGCCCATGCTGCAGTAGTACCTGTGGGAATCTCTTCGTATCCATCTCCTTCCTCCAGTAAGCATGTCTGTGTTCAGCAAGACTGTCTCAGGTGTTTGGTCTGAAACCAGGTGCTTCAAACACACCTGTACATAGTCATATATCAAAGTTTGCACAGTGCTAAGGCATCAGGTTTAGTTGTTTTAACTTGATAGAAACAGGATATATTTTTTCATCATTCTTTGATTCAGTCACTCTTCAGTCTGATATATCAGATTATATTCCTACCTTTTGACATACCAGTTTTACACTGTTGATGTCTTTGTCTGAGCTAGGAAATTTAAAATGTACAGGTGCTGAAATAGTTCAGATTTGCCAGCATTCCTCTTCAAGCATCCTGGAGACCCCCGGTGTTGAGTCTGCTCTCCATTTGTCTCCTTTGGATTGTGTGCTGATCTGGCCTAGCTGAAGGCCTTATCTTACTGCATTTTCAGGTACATTCCCTTGTCAGTGCTTGATTATTTTAGCCCACTCAGTTAGTGATAGGCCAATTCTCTTCTGCTTGTAGCAGTGGACTCTGGGATGTTTGTAATAAGCAGACAAAAAATGTAAGTGGTGAAAGCTGGTTTACGTTTTTGACATATGTCAATATGTAGCAATATGTGCTGTCAGGATTTGTCAGAACATCAGTCATCAAAACAACAACAACATGATAGTCCTGTAGTATACACATTCACAATCCATTCACAGCTTTTCTTTTAATATTTTTATTTTATAAAGTTCAAGAATCCCACCACCCTTTTCTTTCACATATGTTTTCATGATCCTTGCTCTCATAGCTTGCAATTAAGGACAAATGTTTTCTCTATTCATCTGCCACTTGATATCCTCCCCAGGAGGTGATGTTGAAGTCATCTTATTAGCTTAAAAGAAGCCAGAGGTCACAGACATGAATTGTCTGCTGTGGGAAATGCTATATGTTCTCTGTAGATTATATTGATATCGATTCACCATTAATCACTACCAATATTCCCAACTCCTGTTCCACTTACCATTTGGTTTTCTTCTTGCCAATGACTTCATCTTCCAAGAGATTTTAAAGGCATCTCAATTCAGCTGTTGCCTTAATTTGTAAAGATCTTTCAATGTTTAGTTTAAGAATCTATATAATGCTTCTTTTTTTAGTTTTCTTTTAGTTAGGTCTGTTGCGATGTCTCGCACTCTGTGCTCATCTTGGCAGTGATACATAAAGAACTTGCAGACAAGTTGAACTGGCTCCACAGGTCCAAGTCTGCAAAAATTAAAACCTGTGAACCACAGCAGCATCCAGTTTCTGCATAGTTAGCTTTACCAGGATCCTTATGGCTGTCATTATGTTCTCACATTTGGTGTCACACACAGAATTTGAGAAGTAGAGATGTACCGGGGAATAAATTATTTCATATTCAAATCTCTTTAAATAAATGATACTTGTAAGAGAATTGGCAGAATTTTCTTGTTTTCTGGGTAAATATACTGTGGTGTAAAGATTTTGGCCTTATGAATGGTTTTAATAAAGATAATAAGGATTTAAAACTGTGTATAATAATTCACATTGTCTGTCTACAGTGTCATATAGAGCTTTCTCCTTGCCTTGCCTATTTTTTCTTCACAGCTATGCATTCAAGGAGGAATATGGCACTTCAGCTTTCTTTTTTCATCATCTTTTTCAAGCTCTTCAATGGAAAAAAATACCACATTTATTTCTATCTTTTCCTTATATGAATTATTCATTAAGCCTATCAATTAAAGAAATCATCTTTCTTTTAGAAGATAATGATCTTTCAAGGAATTACCTTTACACACAACCAAAAGTTAATTCTTTTCTGCTTGTTTTATAAGCCATTTGTTTCTTTAATTTCTGATGTAATTCCCCCATCATTAGAAAAAGCAGGATAATGTCCAGGGTAGACAATGTTATAAGGCTTTTCTGTAATGGTCCAAAGTGAAAGAATTCAGATACTTTTTCTTCTTGAATGTACTGGAAAAATGTACTGGAAGATCTCCAGTGTTTTGTCTCTAAACATATCATATCAAACATATAGTAAGCATACAGAGTATCAAATTTAATCCATCCTGGGGCTGTCAGAGGAAACGCATGAAAATCAAAAAGTCTTGGACTGAAAATTATTTTATGATGATATATGCTGCATTTCCCCTTGAGAATTTTACAAAACTAATGGTTTGGGTTTTTTTTATTATTATTTCCTCTTGCAGTTTATGGTGCTTTCAGCTGCATATATAATAAAATAAATTTGAAGTTGCCTAAAACTTTAAGTATATTATTTTTCAAGCTGATATTTCCTTCATATTGACATTGTCTTATTAGATGGTTTTACTTGCATAGAAGTAGCTTTTGCTACTTTCTGTGAGAACTGTCAATGCCAGTATACTTCTATGTAGGAAAGCATCCTTAATTGTAGTTGGTAGCAGGGGTTTTCTCATAGCTATTAAAGCGCTGGGGAGACCTTTCTTATTAAAAGGCTCTAAATGTAGTTATGTGCATTAATGAAGGTTATTTTTCATTTTGTCAGTCTTGTCTTTGGTACTTACCTAGTTTTCTACCAGTTTATATAACCAAAGGTATGCTTTGAAGGTAATTTTTATAGTTTAGGATACAGACATGCTGCAGTCCAACAGAGGGAGTTGAGTTCAACAAAAATACAGGTCTTGCTTACAACATCCTGGAAATCTGGGAGTTGGAAAAGGTGTTGGAGCTGTAGCACGTTGCCAAATGGATATGAACATGTAGTAAAAAACTGCAGTTAACAGAGCTGACACCGTCTTTGAGTGAGTAGCAATGTATCTGTGGGAATCAATGTGACTATATGCAGCACTAATAAGATAATTTCCACAACATTGTACTTGATTTCATTAATAAGGCCTTTAAAATATGTTAATAAATTGAAAATATTTCAGAAAAATCCATATGAATGCCAGCAATTTTGCTATATTCTGTGTGTATGAATAAAAATTGTGTAATTTTACAAGAAGAAGGTGGAGTGAGTGAAGGAGTCTCTGCTTAACCAGGGAACATTGTTGGGATAGAGAGAACTTTCTGTGATGTAGTTAAGAAGTGTGTGGAGTAGGACAAAGTGACCGTGTCTATACTTGTAGACACTCCTTTGTAGTTTATTGGGTAGGTATATCTTCACAGTGTTCCTGTAGTCCCACAAAAGCTTCCTGTGGATCCCTGTCTGCTTATATGCTTGAGTTTTTCTCTGGAGGAAGCCAAGATTGCAGGAGGATGAGGTGCATGCCGATGTTGTCTTATCAGGGAGTCAGCCTGTGGACAGGACAGGATGAATAGGTGGATACTTCAACTGCAAAGTGTGACACACAGAAAACGTGCTGAGGGCATGGACAATTCCCTTCAGTATAGACACCTGCCTTCAGACTTCCTCTGAGAGATCTGCTGGGCAGACA